ATTGATGTTATGCAGGTTGTTATACGCAAGTTGGATGTTCTTTATATCAAATTTGACGGATACTTTCATGAAAGTTAACTTTTATTTACCACAACTTCATTTAACAAGTTTCCTGGACCACCTGGGGACAAAAGTAAATGTTATACCTTTGAAATCTTCCATAATAAGGATATGATTATCAATCATTTGTTTGCTTTTCCTGAGCAAAATTTTTAAAAATATTTTTTTTAAGTATTTTTCCTCTATATTCCTTTGAAAAAAGATTTGATTGTAGTCTCTCCCATTGATGCCCCCCACCCCCTCCCAATTACAGTTTTGATTCAAACAATTTTGAAATATATGAGTTATCATGTCTTTGCCGTTCTTGAGAAAACAATTTTTCAATTTTTTCTCTGCTTTTATATTTCAACATTTCATCCCTATTGTGTTCTCAGCTACCCCCGGGGGTCATGATTTAAACACATTTAAATCTATACTGCCTGAGGAATTCCATACATCTTCCCTACAGTATAACGTAGATAATATTAATACAACTAATCAAAGCTTCGTTTTTTTTTAGAAGAAAACTTTTCTTATAATTTGCTATGTATGACTGATCCTCCATTTGGCCCTACTCTACCCCGGGGTCATCATTTGAACAAATCAAAATTTAAACTTTCTGAGGATGCTTTCATATCATTAGGACTAATCATAGCTTTGCTGTTCTTGAGAAGACTTTTTTTTTCTTATATAGAAAAGAAATCTTTGATTTCCATTAGTAGCCTCGTCTTAGGTCCAGTGTCATCACTTGAAGATTTGAATCAAAGTTACCCGAGGATTCTATCTTATTAATATGATCAATCATTGATCTCTTCTGAAGAAGAAATTTCAAGATTTTTTCCTATTTGTTCTTTTTTAAAACATAATTTAACACTACTTGTGGCCTCATCCTAACCCTGGGTTTATCATTTTAACCAATTTAAATGTGTACTGTGTAAGTTAAAGTCGTTTGGTCAATGGCTTTTGAGAAGATTTTCAAAGATGCTACACATTTTCACAATTTTTGAATATTGAAGAAGGATGTGAGCATTCTAGTAAACAAACGTTAATAGGTAATTTGTTTTTAATTCAGGATTCAGAAAAGCACATAGAACATAATTTGACTGATGAATTCTAGACAAATTATAAAATAAAAGTAAAATTACATAGGTTCTTAAAGGTGCATAAAACGGATGGAGCTTAATATTTTCTCAAATTTTCTGTTTAATATCACGACTGATATGTCGGTATAGCATTTCAAACGATAATATGAAAAAATCATATTTCCAGGAAATTATTTTAATCTACTAATTTCGGGAGGCGTTTGATAAACACATCTTTGTATTTTCACAAAATTTAGCTTGATCCTTAATTGTATAAATTCTGATTAAGTTGTGTATAATTTTTGTTTAAGATTTGAATAAGTTTTGTTTCAGTTATATATTCAAATATCAAACTGTCTACTGATTAGACATACAAATAACAATCTATGCAAACAAAAATCTTAAGCAAACAGTTTGTGAAACAGTTAGATCTCCCCTGCCCAATAAATTTATTTTTAATTGACTGATCACATTTTGCCCGGCGTCCGTCTGTCCGTCTGTCTGTCTAGCTGTCCCCCTGTCTGTAAACTTTTCACATTTTCGACATCTTCTCAAGAACCGCTGGGCCAATTTCAACCAAAACCTGCCACAAAGCATTCTTGGGTAAAGGGGATTCAAATTTGTTCAAATAAACGGCCACGCCCTCATGCAAGGGGAGACATTTGAGAATTAGTGAAAATTTGGTGGTAAGTTTTAAAAATAATCTTCTCAAGAACAAATGGCCACAATGGCCGACCAAAGTTTGATATAGAAATATATACGTACATTCTTTAAAAATTTCTCAAGAACCCAAAGCCATAATTTCTAATATTTATATGGAAGCATCCCACTTAAGGTAGTGTAGATTCAATTTTGTTCAAATAATGAAACCTGGGGGTAAGGCGGGGCCACAAGGGCGGACCAAAGTTTTATTTAGAGATATATAGGAAAACTCTATAAAAATCTTCTTCTCAAGAATAGCAAAACCATAATTGTTCATATTTATATGGATGCCTCTTCAGGAAGTGTAGATTCAAGTTTGTTCAAATCAAACAAACCAGGGGTAGGGCGGGGCAAAACTTTTTGATATAGTTTTATCAATAGTAAACCAATTTCTAATTTTTCCTAGCCACAGTGCTCGGGTAAGCGATGTGACCCATGGGCCTCTTGTTTTTAAATCCAAGAGGCATAAATATGTCAGTAATTGCTTGAAAAAAAAAACGGAAGAAATCCGTGGACAATGCAGTGTAAAAATGATGGTCTAGCAATCAGTAAGAAAAAAGTCAGTTATTTCATTTAAGGAAATTATATTTTCTGACAGTTAATCACAAAATATAAAACTGTATAAAGTATGACCTTAAAAATATATTTACATGTTCTATATCAAACGCAAACAAAACTTGCAAACTGAAAATGTATTATATTTGGCGTGTACAATATTTGGCGGAAATTGAATTTTCAACAAGTTGGCGTAGATTTGATTTAGCGCTTTTTGAATGTGCTTTACATAAACCTTTATACACAACGCATTTAGCGATGTACTTGATTTAGCGGAGGCTGCTTTCCGCGAAAGGCGCTAAAAAGAATACACAGCCAAATGTAATATGTTTACAGTATTTCACAATTATTTATGCACGATTATTGCGTAATTTAAAACTTTAAATTCAGTTGTAACTCGTACTATAAATTTCGATGTGCAATTTTAATGGTAATTCAATTAAAAAAAATTGCACAACATTCCTTCCTTCTTCCTTTCTTTACAAAAGGGAATAAATTGTCCTGGTTTACAAACAATAAACAATACATAATATAAAACAAAGCACTATTAAGCAAATAAAACAAACAAAATTGATACACACATTTTGTAGTTCAGAAAAGGATGAAAAAAAAAAACACGGATATCAACAAATTCAAAATATAAAATTTAAAAAAAAATGCTTTGTGATGTGAATTTTTATTTCATAGAATTTTTGCGTATCTTCGTCAACGAAATGATATACATGAGTTGAAAAGACACATGTTCGTCAAGATGTGTTAATAATAAGGAATACTTGAAATTTATTCCCCATGAACACATAATCTTTATACAATAAATGATAATTGGTCCAAACGAATTCTGATAAATCCAGAGCATATTACTGTTCGTTGTTTACATTACGGTTCGAACGCAAGTGTCGCCGTATAGAATTATGATAAATAAAGCCCATAACTACATTCAAATAAATTATTATTCCCCATCTCACAGAGAAATTGATTAAAGTATTGCAGAAATACCGAGTAATTGCATATATTTATATTAAATAACAGACTTCATGCCTCCTTCTTGCCCGTAATAAAAAGAGCTGCAAGACTTTGCTATCTTAAAACAAGAAGTTTATCAGACTGGAATTTTTATAACTTACACCTTTGATTAGTATTAGTACAATATGAAAAAGAAAGCCCAATGACATTTAAGTGTAAGTAAACTTAATAAATTCAATACTGTTAATACTTTTTATTCGAATAAACCTTATTGTGTGTCTACCTGCAAAAAAATTAATTTTTGCATATTTTATTTATTTTTCCGCTTTTAAATACAAAATATACATCTCGTAGAAATAAGTTTCTTGCAGAGAAAAAAAAAATGTCAATTTACAGTCATCACTTAAATTTAACATCAATTTATAAAATGCTCAATGTTCACAATGTTTTATAAACGCTACAAATCTATAAACAGAACATTAAACACTGACCACCAGGAACTCCAGGGATAGATTCGGATGCAACAGAGAAGTAAACATCCCCTTTTAATCGACCGGACTTGTCGTAAGACCTATGTAGTGATCCGATATACAAAGGGAAAGTTCCTTTGTCAAATTAAGTACAAAAACACTTGGTACAAAACATGTCTGGCGAAATGGGACCTAATGAAATTTTATATTTGCTAAAAATGCCAAAAACAGAGTTTTAAGATTAATCCCGATATGAAGAGGATTGGAAGAGTCTTTGGTGGCTTCTATTTTAAGTTCAGGATTTGGCTTGTCGACATACAGAAAATGTGTGAGTGAAAGTATGTATTGGTAGTATATAATACGTCTTTGATACATTGGAATACCGAACTGAAGGCCAATGCAAGTGTTTTCTTCTTCCCACGTGAAATTATTTGAATAAATGCGGTAAATTCCTTGTGAAAGCATCACGCTTAATTTCTTTTGCAAGCTATGATAAAAGTCCAAATCAACGTTTGCTCCATATCTCAGAACTAATGTGAACGCACTTGGTATTGAAAAACCACTTCATCCATCGTCAGAATAAAAACTCAGCACCATATTCTAGTAAAAGTTCAGCAATACTGTCATGACTATATAAATATGTTACGTACAGTAGACTCATATTGTCTTTATTGCATAAATTAACACAAGTATCATTTTTTAATAACAATAATTCGACCGTGCTGTAATGTCCGTTTTCACAGGCTTTGCAGAGAGGACTGGTTCCCTCGTTGTCACATAAATTGATGTCGGCACCGTTGTTCAATAAAAGTTTAACCATGTTGTTATCACCGTTGAGACATGCTGCATAAAACAGACTGCAGTTGCCTTTATTTCATAAATTGACATCAGTACCTGAATTAAATAGAAGTTCTATTGTGCTGAGTTTTCACAAGCTATTCAAAAGAACTGTTTCCATCTTTTTCATATAAATTAATGTTAGCACAGTTGTTCAGTGACAGTTGTACCATGCTATCAAGTCCATTTTGACAAGATATATAAAGAGTACTGAATCCATCATTATCACATAAATTGATGTCGGCACCGTTGTTCAGTAACATTTGTACCGTGCTATCATGTCCATTTTGACAAGCTATTGAAAGAGGACTGAATCCATCATTATCACATAAATTGATTTCAGCACCGTTGTTTAGTGACGTGCTATCAAGTCTTTTAGACTTAATCCATCACCATAACATAAATTGATATCTGCACCGTTTTTCAGTAGCAATTGTACCGTGCTATCATGTCCATTTTGACAAGCTATAAAAAGAGGACTGGCTCCATTCTTATTACGTAAATTGATGTCGGCACCGTTGTTCACTAACAGTTGTACAGTTCTATCATGTCCATTATGACAAGCTACATAAAGAGGACTGAATCCATCACCATAACATAAATTGAAGTCGGCACCGTTGTTCAGTAATAATTCTACCGTGCTCTCATGTCCATTTTGACAAGCTATATAAAGAGGACTGGCTCCATTCTTGTTACATAAATTAGTGTCAGCACCATTGTTCAGCAACAGTTGTACCATGCTATCAAGTCCATTTTGACAAGCTATATAAAGAGTACTGAATCCATCATTATCACATAAATTGATGTCGGCACCGTTGTTCAGTAACATTTGTACCGTGCTATCATGTCCATTTTGACAAGCTATTGAAAGAGGACTGAATCCATCATTATCACATAAATTGATTTCAGCACCGTTGTTTAGTAGAAGTTGAACCGTGCTCCCATGTCCATTTTGACAAGCCATATGAATAGGACTGTCTCCATTCTCATCACATAAATTGATTTCGGCACTGTTGTTCAGTGACAGTTGTACCGTACTATCAATTCCATTTTGACAAGCTATATGAAGAGGACTGGCTCCATAAATGTTACATAAATTGATGTCGGCACCGTTGTTTATTAACAGTTGTATTGTGCTATCATGTCCATTATAACAAGCTATACAAAGAGGACTGAATCCATCATTATCACTTAAAATGATGTCGGCTCAGTTGTTCAATAATAGTTGTACCGTGTTATCATGTCCATTATAACAAGCTATATAAAGAGGACTTGTTCCGTTATTATCACATAAATTGACGTCGGCACCGCTGTTCAGTAACAATTGAACCGTGTTATCATGTCCATTTTGACAAGCTTTATAAAGAGGACTGACTCTGTGAATATCACATAGATTTATGTCGGCGCCGTTGTTCAGTTACACTTGTACTGTGCTTGTATATCCCTTTTGACAAGTAATCCACAGAGGAGGTTTTCCATCGTCGCCACATAAATTGATTTTGGCGCCATAGTTCAATAAAAAGGAAATGGTTTTATTACGTCTTTCTCTTTCTTTTGTTTTCTTTCCAGCTTCTCTTAAATGTTCGTCATCATTCCCTGCTGCCAAAATTAACGGAGTCCAAACATCACCAGCACTCAACATGTTGACGTCTGCACCGAGTCTTATTAACTCTGGAATAATCTCATAGTTATGGAAGACTGAAGCAATATGGATGGGATAAAATAACCCCCAAAAGTTCTTCTATAGCCATTTCTTTGTATTCTAAGCTAAGACTATGAAACAGTGGTAATGTTCCATTAGCACACACGGCAGAAAAAACTAAAAGATCCTGCAATGCATTTTTGTCTATGCATCGTATAAAAGACAGAGAAATTTCATCATGACATAGTACTATAAAGCCAACTAAAGGACACAATTTACCTCTCCAGTCAAGAAAAGTTAGTCTTGATATGCTGAAATCACTAAACGGTTTTCCAAACTCTGATATATCTCTTAAAACCCCGTTAATACCTGAGAGAATGTTTGATAGATTTTCTAATAATTCAATTTTGTCTTCAAAATCTCTTATCACACATTTATTTCTCAAACATGGATTTAATAGAACATCTACAATATGTTCTGTTTGCATATCAATGATAAACCTGTCCACGAGATCATCAATGTACTCTTCAGGAAGGTAAACAGTGAAGGGATCGCGATCTTCCTCTTCTCTATCGTCCTCTATCTTCACCCGACGTCTCAGAAAACCACTCTCTGCGTACTGTATTGTTTCTTGTGGACAATCAAGAGTCGTTATCTCCATAATAAAGTCGTGAAGAAATTGGAAAGAATTTCCTACACGTTTGACATATGATCCTTTAAGTTCTTGGAGAGTACTGCGAAAAATCGAAATATGTGTGTTTTCTGGTAATTCACACATTTCTAAAATGTCTTTATATTTCTCCTGAGAATCATCATTCCTTACAATTGTATCTATTTTTAGATTGTTGTTAAAAGCTACAACTAAAATAAGAGCACATAATTTCTTCTTGTCTACTCTCTTGAAAATATCTATTTCTTGTTTAATGAACCTTTTCGGAGATTTAAAGAAGTCAAGCCCATTTTCCTTGTAAACTGGCCTAGAAAAAAGCTTACAAAGCAATGGGAAATATGCTTCTGTTTTGATTATTTCGGAAACAATTTCATCAGAAAGGTCTCGATTCTGTGTGTATTGATTGAGGATTGATCTTTTCTCTTCATCTGTCAATCGATTTGTTTCGGTGTCAATTTCTACTATGGTGGATTCCTCAAACAAAATACCCTTCACTCTCTTGTCATAAAGAACACATCTTCTACAGGGCAAAAGAAGTTTGGCTTTCTTCAAGCAAGTCTCTATCGTGTTTTGATAATTTTTCCATAAAGTATACAATATTTCATCTAAAGATTCTTTACCTAAAGGATCATTTAATACAAAAAGGGTATCATTTTTGGTTGAATATGAAAATTTCTCTTTTATTTCTCTTACTTCATCCACTGGTATAACATTACTGCCCTGATATTTATGCTTGAGTGCAATATGCTGAATAATCGCCGATTTGCCAGATCCAGAATTTCCGACCACTATGACTAGGTTATGACTTTTAAACATTTCTTCGACAATCCTACTTGCTTTTGTAGGAACAAAAGTCTTGTTCTCTTCTCGCCAGGCATTAAGAATCTCATCTACTACTGGAATTCCTAAAATAAATTCAATGTCTTTGACATTAATAAAAAGTATTTGCCACATGAAGGTGTATAGAAAAGCTTTTAGTCATGACTCTTAGCCTCTACGAAGTCAGTCTGAATTTCTTTTTAAAGGGGCCTGTACACAGTTTCAACTGATTTTAATGTTTTCTATTTTTACCTATAGTCTATTGATGAGCAAACATTTGCACATTATTTGTTGATTAAAACAAGATACTGAACTTAAAGTTCTTCATAATGTAAACAAGGATCTTGACTTGATTTTGTTTATATATAGAAAATAGCATATTTATACAAAATGAATTTCAGCAAATTAAAGTAACTGCCGAATTGTATTTAAAATTAAATTCTACTTACTTTTATCCACTTTTAACGAAGAAATATTAGTATATTAACCTGTATAAACAAAACAAACATTGCACTAGCCTTGTTTACATAAAAAAGTTAGCAGCTCTAAATCTGTCTTGTATCTGGACAACTGGCGTTCAAATTTTTCATAATCATTAGAAAGACATTAATTAAATATTTGTAAAAATAATTTTTTTTTTAAATTTAAGCTGAAACTGTGTCAATGCTCCTTTAAAGGGGTCAATAAAGTTTTTCATTTCTTTGTGCTTTTTAATAAAATAAAGCAAATTTAGAGAATCCCCCGCCCAAAAAAAAATAATAATAGAATTGAATTCAATTCAGAAATGACAGGTTATGAAACTTAATTAGAATTCTATATGTACATTATTGATTTGTAAAGGGATTTTTTTTCAAACGATAGATAGATTGACGATGCAAAAGTATTTTTTTAAGGCAGGATACTTCATGTATTTTTTTCATTGGGGGTTTTAAAATGTTATAAAGGCAACAGTGTACAATATTAGGTAATAAAATGTAACACAGAATTTAGTGAATCCCACAATTATCTTTCTTAATTTTGGTATAAATTCTTTGTATCTGTCATTCTTTGTAGTACTTCATAAAAGATTTTCTAAATTTGACATTTAGAGATGCCCTCTCTGGAAACCAGTTGAAGAATTCTGTGTTTCCTACATATTTTGTACAATATAATAATACTCATCACATATTTTAATTTGACCAAAAAAAACCCTTGTGCGTTTTGTATAATTTGCTTTGAAAATCGATATTGGGTAATAGCTGCACAATGCGGCCTTAAAGATTTACTATAAACATTTATCTGCAAAATTAATTCTGATTAAAAACTGCGAAAGAAATGTATTTTTTACGGAAAAATTAACACTCACTGTTCCTCCAAACTTAATAAGTACACAGTAAACATTCTTTAGCTCTTAAAATTCGGATTTTGAATTCATACCTAACAAATGTGATTCCAAAGAAGACATCTTTTCCATAAGATCTGTAATACTTTTGTAACTGGCTTCAAGATTTTCAATTATGGCCTTTTCATTTTCCTCTTCTAAGGCCTGACTTTGAATATTACTCAGGCCAGACATATAATCTTTCTTTGTGTACGTTTGCAGTCTTTGGCAGACATTAGTTATTATTTGCCATGTGTCATCGAACTCTGACTGTGAGGTAGAAGCCGAGCTTATGTGTTCAAACATGTTGTTTCTTATCAACCTGATCCTTTCAACATCATCACCAATCGTTGTTTCTCCTACAGACGGCATCGAGTTCCCACCCCAACCTTTTGTCGGACGAGGAATTGTTGTACAAATGTTTCTTATCAGTGTATATAACAAAGTAATATCAAATTCTTTATAACCATCTGTTTTGGCGCCTATGAGACGAAGTTCTTGCTCGGGACGTATTTTCTTATAAATTGATGAGGCTTTCACTTTGCTATAGACAAGACCAGGAGGTACCTCCATTTCTAAGACATCTCTACAGGCCTGGGTCAGTTCTTCGTTTATTGCCATTCCTAGTTTAGCAAACCTGGAACAGCCGCCAGGGTCTGGCGTAGAAGCCATTCTTTGGGTTCTTCTTTTTTAATAAACACTCTGAAATTACAATGAAGTTGTTATCATGTTGAACAGTAATAAAAGCCTAACTTACGTTCTAAAAGGAGCTTTTGATATATTAGCAAATGATTTCAGGGATGATGTTTGCTAGGTTTAAAAGCGAGTTTACAAACTTGGGAGATCGTTTATTCTCCTTCTTAATATTGGTGAACTTGAAAGGAGATAGTACTAATGATTCTAAAATCTAACAGGGACTACATTTTCCTCTATTTTGTCTGTTTATCTCTTTATCCGCAATACGCTAACCGTTGTGCTTTCATATTCCACAAGTGTATTTCTTGTGAAAAGACTTCTTTTGATACTAACAAATTTGTTCATGCGACCTTAGCGTTAGACCCACTTTTATTAAAATATTTGACCATAGCTGTAATAGATACATGCAAAACAAGAATATTGTCGTTTCCAGGTGATATGAATATTTGTGTTTATGTCAGGGGTTAAATATAACCAAACTCATGACGTCATAATTGTTGATCAGCAGATTGAAAGTGAAACGTCACGAGATTTCTTGTAAACAAACACAGGAATCGGAGTTAAAAAGCATTCATAAATAGCAGAAATGTCATGTGGAATTCATCCGGAACTAAAGCTTATAAATCAGGTATGCTAATATTTTTTCTACAATTTGTTATAACAGTGTTTTTACTTAGCGATCAGCCTTTCCTCTGTCGTCATTAACAAAAAAATGCAAAACACTACGCCGCATAAGTTGTTTTGAACTGACTTTCTTCTTTCTATTGAAAGTACCTGTCCTCTTATTTTTGAAAAATGTTGCTAGAATCGTCTGGTAAACAGGAAGTGATGCAATTTTTAATCCTATACACAAAATGTAAAAATGTTGGTAAGTGTTGAATAATTATTTCTGTGAAAGGATTAGGAGAGAACGATTTTAGTAGCATATTTCATGGTACAGAAATTATTGTACATTACTTTTATTTCAAATAGAAATTAATTAACCTCGGGGAAGTTTTGAACTCTTCACATTTTCATTAAGGCATATTTTTCTAATAATAGATGTCACGTGGTAACCCTAACCCTGTAGTATAAGTCCCATTAAAACATATAGAGAAGAAATGTCACATTGGTCCATGTTTGGCCCTGTGAATTTTTGAAAAATCAGAACAACTCAGTTTTAGTTTAAAATATGTTAAATTTCACTTGGACCCTTGGTGACTTCATATCCAATACAAATGACGTAATTTTGTCTCTTGTCTATGTATTATGATGTCATGAATTTCGTCATTTTCCTCAAATCTGGAAAAATTCTCTAAAAAAAGACGAAAAAATTAAGCTGTTTTTTTAATATTTTGCATAGCCCCTAACCTCTAATCTAAATCATTTAATTATAAAATGAAAGAACAATATCAGAAGAATCTAGTCCATGAAAATTTTTTTTGGATCGCGGGGAGGGCTCATATTTTTATCAAAAGTTAAAGATGCTCAATTTCAACCATTTTCTTAAAAAATCAAGAATAATGTAGTTTCACAACGTCCGAGTTTCCAAAGTTTGACTCTCAGACGATTTTTTTTACATGAACTGAAGGCTCTAAGTCTCTACTTTATGTTGATGTTCGAAATGGGACCTTCAGACTTGGTGAGTTAATTAATATATTGACAGGGCCATTTTATTGAGTTTGTGAACCTACCTCTTTCATAAAGATAGCAAAAGTCTTATCAATGACTTTTCCGATTTATCCGTGCTACTTATTAGGAAAAATTCTTCGAAGTTTTGTCTGTGGTATGTATGCTGCCTCAATATATTTATTGTCGCATGACGTATATGAATCAGATTAAAAAAGCACATAACCCAAATGATGTTATAGGCGGAGAACATACTGTAAAATCACATATTTTCGTGGGGTCAAATTTTCATGGGGTGAAAATTTCTTGGTTCGTGGGGATTTGATTTCGTGGATCAAGAATTATTGAGTACTTAAGTGTGTGACATTTTACATTTCTTGGTGGACACGAATTCGTCTTGTCATACCACGAAAACAGCGAACATTAAACCCCCACAAAAATTTGTGATTTCACAGTATACAAGATCAATCATACCACAAATTAGATTGTTGCAAAAGGCGCATAGTGGTTTAACACTATTATTGTGAAATTAAGCTATATTTTAAGTTCTATTTGATTAAATATTTGCTATTCATGGCGAAAATCATGGTGTGTAAAAATACACATAAATTGGAAATAAATTTACATTTTAGGAATTTTATTATATTTTCTGCTGATGCTTTTAATAATGCGACCCAACTTTTTAAAACGGAATTTTCTTTTTTTTTGAATTCACGGTGAATAGTTTATAAATATTAATGCGCTATACCTGTGTTTGATAGACATGAAGTGAAACAAAAGTCACGATTGTTGAAAGTTCACGAAAATTATTAAATTGTTAACAAAATAAAATTAAAAACACCGTCATATATTCCACTTCTACAGTATTTCAGACGACATTGTAGTTGAAGTGTGGGCCGCCTTCAATTACATGTTTTCCAGAATACCAACATGAAGGTCTGCAAAGAGAAGTGGATGTAGGCAATAGCCTGTCTGCTTCTCTAAAAAGAATGCCAAGAGTATCATAAAATAAAACTGTGTTTATTATAAACATGTATCAATAAACTTGCTTATGCTTTCCTAATTTGCATATTCTTATGCTTCTTCATTATAAAACTTTGTAATAAAATAACGGTAGTTAATGATTTTTTCATCGTTTTAAGCTGTACCTGATCAATAAACATTTCGCTTTGTACACTTAAATGAGTTATTTCCCTTCTTTTTGTACATTATGAGAATACTTACAATTTTTTTAGTCATAAATCATGTGAAAAATACCCAGAATATGGTTCCTAAGAATAATCCTTCTTGTATATATTGATAATCTGTGTAAGAGGAAATATGTAGATCAGACGCCATACATGATATTTGAGATCGGTTTCGACGGTTTTTAAATCTATAGTGAACAATCGATTATCCACTGTACTGGATGAATAGCTGTTTTTTTTTCAACCATGTTTAAGCGATAAGATTTTTGCAATACAGTGTACTGAGTGAATACAGGCTGATTTAAGATATGATAACAAATAAAAGTGCTTTGTTTAAAAGTTAACATAAAATTCTTCAACATATTTTCATTACAAGTACACATGTATTCGTAATTGCTATTTAATGGATTATTCAATATTCTTGTAAGCATGAATACGTACGTCTTATTTCTTCATGAATACAATGGTGAAAGAGAAGTGTATAAAATCATGATCTTTGATTATTTAAGCCTACGAAGTTGTTTCTTACGGAAGCGTATATGGCTCTACACCTGTTGTGTTATAACTTTGTATATTGTCTTATATTTTATCGACTTATCAATATATAAAGTGTTATACCTCCTTATTTATGTACATATTTTGAATTGTATTGAGGTGTATTTACATAATAGAAGGCAACTTCTTTTGTTCACTAGCTTTTATTGCTTTAACTTTTATCGATTAAATATTATGCTAATTTTCAAATATTGATCTAAACAAAATATTTATTCATGTCAATATAGTATTGTCGATATGAAGAAATACTAGTAGATATGAAGTTATATCGATATAAATATATGAATATTTTCAGAAAAAGGTACTTGAATTAACTTGGCGGGAGCGGGAATTCTAATTAATCTTCACTTCACTTGGGAAGCTTATGTACCATGTATTTGCTATCGTGTACTATTATAGGCTGAAATAAAATTCAAAAATATTTGAAAAATGGAGATGGAAAGACATCATCAGTTAAATTATATGCAATGTCATAGGAAATTATTGTACCCATCATTTTGAAGAGGGAATATGATATATTCTATCATGGTTCAATGCTTATATCTCTTGATTTCAATGGGGATTTTAAATCGCTAATGAAGCGAAAATAGAAAGTACCTGGTAACACTATTAAAAAAGTAACACTGATTATATATGTACTTTGTAAATATTTGATATTTCACTCTGTGATATACATAGAATCTGACTCATGAATGTCTTGAAACCTCCCAACCCCACCCCCCTGCATAAAAATATAAAAACACCAGATCTAACTTCTTATTGCTTTCAATAATATTAAATAATTTGTGATTTCAGCCAATCTGTATAAGCTTAATCACAAAGTTTAAAGGATGAAAGTGTAGTGTCAGCCAAAATAAATTTATAACAAGAAAAACACCCCAAGGGATTTAATAATCTACGTAACTGCAAGAATTTTCTCAAATTTGGGGACATATCAGTGGATCTTTGCTGTACTCAGTTTTGGGTTTTTTATAGCTGGATGTGGCGCACAAAGATACTTTTGTCTCCCCCTCTTCAAAAGTGGTGATCGGTGCAATAGCCCACTATGGATCTATAACTTTCAATTTCTCTCAATCTCCCTTTTTTGATATACTTTTTAATTTGACTCAGTCTTTAATCGTAAATGCTGACATGATACTAAAGCTTTCACTGAATCCCGAGTGAAGTGAAGGTTCATTGGAATTCCACCCCCGCCAAAATAATTCAAAAACACTTTATTCTGACTTTATTCTGACTTCTTTATCGCAAATATACATAAATTAAAATTGATATAACTATATCTTTATTTTATCATATCAACAACATTATAACGATAAGATTAAATGTTTTGTTTAAAGCAATATCTGAAAATCAATATATTATTTCAGTCGATAAAACTTAAAGCAATTGAATCTATTGGACAAAAGAAGTTGCCTTCAATAATGTAAATACACCTCAATACAATTCAAAATATGTACATAAATAACATAACTCGGTACATGTAAATGGGATTGATAGTACTGCACTATTTATGGATTTATCGACACTTAACTTTCCACGGGGAATCCCGGCCCCGAAAGGAATACGATGAAGAGGCTTATGAACACTGTTGATATCAGCTCAAAAGTAGCTACCGGTAAGTCATATCTATAGATATTTACATGACACACTTTCATAATAATAGGCCTATTT